GGACGATCTTTGGGGGCACTTGGGCAGTCTCAGGCCGTTGGAAGGCAGAAAAAAGGCGAATGCCACAATCCTTTAAACAAACTCATAGGAAATCTATGGTTTTGGCCTTTTCGGGCCTTCCTGGAGGCCCTCTTGGAGGCCTCTTGGGCCGTCTTGGGCCAGCTTCGAGCCAACTTCGGCCATCTTGGTGGGTTCTTGGCCCGTCTGACGCCGTCGGGAGCCGTCTTGGGGGCCTCTCTGAACCGACTTTGGGTCCTCTTGGGGCGCTTCGAGGCCGTCTTGGAGGCCATCTTGGGCGTCTTGGATGTCTCTTGGGCAGTCTTGGGGCCCTCTTGGGGCCGTCTTGGAGGCCTCTTGGACCGTCATGGGGCCCTCTTGGAGGCCTTGTGGGCGATCTCTGGGTGATATTTGGGTGCTCTTGGGCCGTCTCGGGCAGTCAGAAGGCCGAAAAGAAGCAACTGTCAGAATCCTTCAAAAATCAGGAACATCTTTGTTTTTTGGCCTTTTCTGGCATTCCTGGAGGCCCTCTTGGAGGCCTCTTGGGCCGTCTTGGGCCAGCTTCGAGCCAACTTCGGCCATCTTGGTGGGTTCCTGGCCCGTCTGACGCCGTCGGGAGCCTTCTTGGGGGCCTCTCTGAACCGACTTGGGGTCCTCTTGGGGCGCCTCGGGGCCGTCTTGGAGGCCATCTTGGGTGTCTTGGAGGCCTCTTGGGCAGTCTTTGGGCCCTCTTGGGGTCTTCTTGGAGGCCTCCTGGGCCGTCATGGGGCCCTCTTGGAGGCCTCGTGGGCGATCTTGGGGCGATCTTGGAGGTCTCTTGGGCCGTCTGGGGCCGTCGGTAAGCCGAAAAGGCGCAAATGCCAAAATCCTTCAAAAACCTGTGAAAATCAATAATTTTGCCTCTTCGGGCCTTCCTGGAGGGCCTCTTGGGGGCCTCTTGGGCCGTCTTGGGCCATCTTCAGGCTATGTTAGGCCGTATAGGGTACATCTTGGGCCGTTTTGGAGGCATCTTGGGGCCATCTGAGCCGTCTTGGAAGCCATGTTGGCCGTCTTGGAGGCATCTTGGAGACCATCCTGGGCCGTCTTGGAGCCGTCTGGAGCAGGAAAAACCTTTGCAACCTGTTTTTCGGCAATCTCCCGGGACCCCGGCGGGATGCGCTGGAGGCCCAGGGGAAGTTCTTTTGGAGAAAGAACCAAAACCCAAACCGAGAGGATTCAGCACGCCAGGCACCCTTGTGATGAATCAACAGGGGGCGGCGGATCGAATGGCCTTCGGCCCACCCCGCCACCGTGCCTGGGTTGCGGTATGAAGCCTGTTGGATGTTCGTTGGGATCTTTTGGGAGGCCTCTCAGGTTTGAGGCCTCTTGGGGGCCGTTTTGGGACCTCTTAGGGTCTCTTTTGGGCCTCTGGGGGGCCTCTTGTGCCATGTTGGGGGCTTCTTGGGGGCCTTTTGAGGCCTCTTGGGCGCTTCTCGAGGCCTCCTGGGGGGGCCTCTTGGGGCGGAAGGCTCGGATTTGTGGTTCGTGTTCCCTCTTTGGGGCCCCTTTTGAGGACGTCTTGGGGCCCTCTTGGGCAGTCTTGGGCGCCTCTTGGGCCGTCTTGGGGCGGTCTTAGGCAATCTGTGGGCCCTCTTGGGATGGTCTTTGGGGCCTCTAAGGCCGTCTGGGAGCGTCGGAGGACAGAAAAGCTGAAAACGCCCAAATCTGTCAAAAACCAAAGGGACATCAATGATTTGCGCCTGTGGGGGCCCTCTTGGGAGGCCTCTGGGAGGCCTGTTGGGGCGTCTTGGAGGCCTCTTGGGCTACCTTGAGGTCAACTTGGGCGTCTTGGAGCGACCGTTCGGCGACTCGGGGCCCTCTTGGACCGTCTTGGGGGGGCCTCGCGGGGCCCTCTCGGGCCCGTCTTGGGGGTCCTCTCGGGCCCGAACAGGCCACGCGACAAGGTGCCGGGGGAGCACAAGGGGGGCACGCGCCAAGCCCCAGGGGGCACGCTCTCAGGATCCGGGCCCTCTTTTCAGAGTCCGCAGGACGCATTGAGAAGTGAGGCTCCAGGGGTTATGCAAGGGACCTCGTGACACGCCCACTCCGTGGAGAGGCACGGTGGCGGATATATTGCACCACGTAGATTAGACCACCTAAATTCTACATATATATACAATGCTAGAACCACACCCTTTGGGGTCCACACTGGCTGATAGAAAGTTTCAGGACCGTTGCAGAATCGCCAAAGAGCGACGAGACGCTCGACAGGGTGCTTGCTCGAAGTCGATGTGGAGGTTGATGAGGATGAGGAGGATAATAAGGCGCCAGCTCCAGGAGGATGAGGAGGAGTCAACTTCAGGGCTGCCGAATCCTTCGCCTCGCAGGTATGGCCATCATACCACCATCCTGCGCGAAGCGCTGTCGGCCGGCTCCGGTGTCGCAGGGGCGCGCGGCTGGGATGGCCAGCTCTTGTCGGCCGAGAAGGTGGCCGTGAGAGCCCGTCGGGTGGGCGCTTTGTGAGGAGCCGCCCTGAGGCAAGCCGAGTCCTCCTGTGACACCTCATGGGCCAGGGGCTGGGAGCAGTTCTCCAGGCCTCCCAGATGGGGTCGGAGCAGATGGGGTCGGAGGATCGCCCGTGCCGCATCGCAGATGCATCGGCGATGCATCGGCGATGCGACTTGATGTGGGGCCCAATATTCTCCACGCCGACGTCGCCGATGCACCGCCGACGTCACTGGTGCATCGCCAATGTATCGGCGATGCGGCGAGATCCTCCGACCACGTCTACTCGGACCCCATGTAGGAGGCCACTAACTTCAGCATGAACGGGTCCTGAGGGGAACGGGTCCAAAGATTTCTCGCTGCTTTCGGGGTCACGGTGCCCGGAAACCGGTTCGGGATGAGACGGTCCCAGGGGGAAGCCTTGGGGTCCAGGACCTGTTTCTTTCAGGACCCTTTTCGTTCATGCCTCGTATTCCACGGCGCATCCTGCAGAATTCGGCATACATACCCTTGCTTCCCTGATTACCGGTCACTTACTTCGACGCCCCCAGCTTCACAGGCCACGGGAAAAGTACACCCTCCTTTGATTCCTCGGATTCTATCCCAAGTCGGCTTCACCCAAACATGCTTACATCATGCGCGCCTCGCCCGAAAGGGGCGACGCGCGCGCATAAATCTTGCGGCGTATGCTCGGCGGCCATACCGCTGGGGTCACGATGTATTATAAGATGGCTGGATTCTACTGTATGATCTGGCCGGACGCACGCCTCCAAGGCCGACGCATAGTAGTAGTAGTCGTCGTCGTCGTCGTCGTCGTCGTCATCGTCGTCGTCGTCATAGTCGTAGTCGTAGTCGTAGTCGCGGTCGTAGTAGTAGTAGTAGTAGTAGTAGTAGTAGTAGTAGTAGTAGTAGTCGTCGTCGTCGTCGTCGTCGTCGTCGTCGTCGTCGTCGTCGTCGTCGTCGTCGTCGTCGTCGTCGTCGTCGTCGTCGTCGTCGTCGTCGTCGTCGTCGTCGTCGTCGTCGTCGTCGTCGTCGTAGTCGTAGTAGTAGTAGTAGTAGTAGTAGTAGTAGTAGTAGTAGTAGTAGTAGTAGTAGTAGTAGTAGTAGTAGTAGTAGTAGTAGTAGTAGTAGTAGTAGTAGTAGTAGTAGTAGTAGTAGTAGTAGTAGTAGTAGTAGTAGTAGTAGTAGTAGTAGTAGTAGTAGTAGTAGTAGTAGTAGTAGTATGTCCTTCTGCGCCCCACCGAGCCACGGCTCGTCACGAGGAGGTATCGTGAGAGCCTCTGGTGTGGGATCTGACTCTGCAGGGCTCTGACGTCGGCAAGGCGGGCTTTCGAGAGTGCCCCAGCCGCGGCAGGTCCACGTCCCCACCGCGGAACCGGCGGCGCAGCGGGAGCGGCGCCTGGACTCGCAGATAGCTGGGCGGCAGGCCCCCAGCAGCACCAAGGCAAGCACCCGCCCAGGGCAGGGGGGATGTGGGGCGCGGGGCAGGCAGCAGAGCCAAAGTTGTGGGCGCCCGAAGTGTGCACGGACAAAAGAAAGGGCACGATGCACAGCAGCAGGTGCTGTGCATCACCGACAGCGGCCGCTGCTGGGCAGGCGGACTTCTGCCTCAAAATGGACACCGTCCGCGGCGACATCGACAGCGAGTCTAGTTCAAAATGAAAAGGAACTGCTGTCGGTCTTCGTACCCAGTTTTTTCGTACCCATATCGATCGTACGGGAAGGTGTCTCCAGCTCAGCACAATATATATATATATATATATATATATATATATATATATACATACCAGGAAGATGGACACGCCTCACGCGGCCAGCCTGCGGGAGAGCTGGATACAAAGGCGGCCGCGTGCCTTCCAGCGTTCGGCCCCGTGTGGACGTCCACGCCGGCCCTCCGAATGTGTACCCAACACGTGGCTTCCGCACGTTGCGCTTTTGATTCGGTCCGCGTCTGGTTCCACTCTGCTGGTAGGCCACCCGCGGAGGCGCGAGGACAACCCTGTTTTTAGTGTGGCGGCCTGTGCCGCGAGTCTGCCGTTCTCCTGGAGTTTGGGAGGGAGAGGGGCGGCGCGATGGCGCGGATGGCGCAAATAGAACCGTGCCGCTCGCTCCTCCCCGATGCAGGAAAAGCAATCTATTCCTGCTCCTCTCCTCTGCCCCTCGCTGTTCCCCCCCTCCTTTCCCCCCTTCCCCCGCGCACTGCCAACTACCGAGCAGACCATCGATGATCCGTTTCTGTCCGGTCGGGAGAGGACCATCCGTGGTAGCCCGGACGCCGACTGCCGCGGCTTCGACGATCGACTACACGTAAGAGCGACCCTTCGCCAGAGTGACCTTTCGTGCTGGCCCAAAAAGGGGCCGGGTGATTTTCCTTGTGGTATGAGCTTGACCTCGCGTCGGCACCCGCATCGCGTGATTACGCTGGCATCTGAGCGCGCCAGGTTTGGGCCCGCCCCTTGCAATCGACAGCAACGCATACGCGTCGCACCCTACAGCTTGCATTGGTTACCCGAGGGGGGGGCCGGTCGACCAGACGGCGCGTTGTCCGGCCCAGGACCAGTCCCGAATCCCAGCCCAAATCCCAAATCGCCTTGCTGGAATATCTTCGGATATCTTTGAATATCTTTGAATATCTTTGAGTATGTTTTGCGAACCAATGGGGATATCTACAATTATAAATTCTCCAAGGATGTGCAAACAGATTCCAGGCTCTCGGCTGGGGCGGGTTTTTGCCATGACACCGGGCCTGCTCAGACATCATCGCGATGCACCCCGGCACTGCCAGACCTCATCGCGGTGGCCCTCGGCAGCGTCTGCTTCACAGCGCCTTCGAAGTGCCATTCGGGGCGCTCGGATTCAATCGGCGGAATTCCGCAGCTGCCCGCTGGCTCAAAAATCTTTTGAGTGTGGCGCCCTGCCGATCGTTGCTGCGGCGCGGCAGCAACGGCTTGCGCGATTGCTTTGGGCCCCCACGGGCGCCCCTGAAGCCGCGCACCAAAGGTCACTCGAGACTCTAGCCCAGGGCCATTCCTACTTGTAGTCGAGACGATGGCGGCGCCGCCGGGCGGCGACGATGGCGGCGACGACGACGACAGCAACGAAGTCGGCAACGACGAGGGTGACAACGACAGTGGCGTCGCGGGGCGGTTTCAAAGCAGACGGCGGGGACGACGACAGCGACGGCGGCGAGGACGACGACGACGACGACGACGGCGGCGACGACGACGACGGCGGTGACGACGACGACGACGGTGACGACGAGGGTGTCAACGACAGCGACGCCGTGGGTCGGTTTCGAAGCAGACGGCGGCGACGACGACAGCGACGACGGCGGCGACCACGACGGCGACGGCGACGAAGACGGCGGCGACGAGGGCGGCGACGCACGACACCGAGCGGCGACAACCGCAGGCGCCCCAGTCGGCAGGGGTGGCGGCGCCCTCGCCGGAGCCGCCAGCCCAGCGAGCCTCCCCCGCGCATCTCCCGCGGGCGATGTTTTTCTTCTCCTTGGGCTCGAAGAGCTCGACGCGCCCTGAGGTATTCGGATTTCTTCGTCGGTTCCTGGAATTCGAAGCTCGGGGGTGGACAGAACCCCCACCCTGACACGTCAATTCGTGAATTGTCAGTTTTCGGTTGTCGAGAGGGCGCCGCGGTAGTCATTTTCCAGGCTTGCGCCCGCCAGGTTTGGGCCCGAGGTCGTTACCACTAAACCACGTTTTGCTAAAGGGGGTTCTGTCCATCCCCGAGACGCTGATGCAGCTCTCCCTCCAAACGCTCTTGGCTGGCAATGAACTCTGCGCGTCCCCTGGGTCGCCCTGTCCTTAGTAGGGCGGCGGCGCCGACAACGATGACGACGACGGCGACGGCGGCGGCGGAATAGTTGTTCCCCATGTCGTCAGGTCGAGCTCTTGTTATTTCTAGGACGCCCCGCCGCACCTCACACCCGCCTCCCTCGTGCACTCACTTGCTCATACGCAGACTCATTCACACTCTGAGTCACTTTTACTCAGACTCCCACATATTCATATTGTAAACCACTCACACTTCGACCCACTAGCGACTAGACTCAGACTCACCCATACTCATACTCACTTGGGCAACTGCTCACCGCGACATAGCAGACGTGACACTTGGGCACCCCAAGGGTGAGCCGCGTGGGTTGGGGACTCCAGGATTCGCGCCCTGATTGTGGGGATGTCTCAGGCGGATTGCTTGTTTAGGTGCCCAGTATCCTTTGCTTTCGGAGCAGATTGGGAGGATGTCACAGGCGGGGCCTGTTTTGGACCGCAGACCATATCGTTAGGATGTCTCAGTCGGGGCCCCAGCGTCCCAAGGGGAGCCGGCTGAGGGTATATCACGGGCCCGTTCGAGCCCAGATTTCGGGGATGTCTCAGGCGGTTTGCTTGCTTCGAACCTTCAACTCGTCTGCGTTCAGAGCAGATTGTAAGGATATCAAGCGGCCCAGATTGTTGGGATGTCTCTGGCTGTTTGCTTATTTCGGTACCACGACCCGTCAGGTCGACGATGATGACTACGTCGACGACGACGGCGACGACGCCCCCTCACACTCAGATCATTCAGACCTGTCACGCCCACACTCGCACTCAGATGCTCTCAGACTTCTTGTACTCACACTTATACTCAGACCACTCGCACTCACATGCACTGAGACCTCTCACGCCCACACCCACACACAGACTATTCACAATCACTCACACTCATGCGCACAGACTCACTCATGCTCAGACTCACTACATACATATTCATTCACACTCAGACGCACATGCTCGTATATTATCATACGCAGACCCATCCATGTTCAGACTCTCTCGCGATCAGTCACTCGCAGTCGGAAAGGTGTGGGCAAGCACATGCACATATATGGAGATCTCCGCGTCGAAGAATTCGCCGATGATTGGTAGGCGTCCGCAGCTCTCAGCTAGCACCCAGAAAATCAGGAGTTTCCCATCAGTGAGTGGGGTTCCAGAGTTTGTGGGGATCCCAAAGTTTTCCCAGCCTCGGGACGCTTTCCAGCAGCTGCGCCTCGCCAGAGGAGCTCTTCTGGACGCGCCCTCAGATCGTCCCAAGCGGCCGCCGCGGAGGCCGGGGCGCCTTCCCCGAGCGCAGCCCAGAGCCCAGGCGGAGGCTCTTCGCCAGCTTCCGCATTCTGGACCGCCCGACATCGGCTCGGGATATCACAGTTAGCCTCAAGTCGGGTATGTCCCTCTACAGGAAGAACATGCAATAATAATCCTCAAATAGTCCGGCGACGAATCTTCGCGCTCTTCGCATCATACAACACGTATGTTTTGATTATCTTGTGTGTTTCTTTCAACATCCGCCTCTAGGAGGACATGCCTGACCTAAAGTTAGCCCTGGGAAACGTGTTGGGACTTCGGTCTGGGTCTCACAAATGTTCGGATGCAACTCCTGGGAGGTCAAATTCTGATTTTGCCCTGGTCCGAAATCGGGCTTGATCTCGCTCGATGGCCTGAATCCCGTTTAATCCAGCTTAATCCCGCTTAGTCTGCGGCCTAATCTGGCGTAACAGCCCCCCAAAGGGGTTTAATTCTCCCTAATCTTTGCGACGAAGACCGCCCAGTAGTCTTACAGTAGTTGTCTCCTAACAGATGGGGCCCGAGTGTATGGGGTTGGCGCATCGCGCCGCACCGCCGATGCGCCAGCGGTGCGGCTCGATGTGAAGCTCGATCTCCTCCGCGCCGACCCGACGTCGCCGCTGCAGCGCTGACGTCGAGGGTGCATCGACGATGCATCGCCGATGTATCGGCGATGCATCGGCGATGCGGCGCGATTATCCGACCGCATCTAATGCCGAAGAAGCAAAAGTTCCGCGCGGATTTCTTGGATCTGCGCTGGTCCCCCCCCCTCTCCTGGCGGCGCCTCTGGCGCCGCCCCTGGCGCGCTCCGCGCGCCAGGGAGGGGGGCCCCAGCGCAGATCCAAGAAGTCCGCGCGGAGCGCCAGAAGGTTATCTTTTAGCAGTTTGTTCTTCTTCCAGGTGCGGCGCGATTCTCCGACCCCATCTGCTCGGACCCCATCCGTGAGCTCGCCCTGGGTGAGTGTTGGGCCTCGGGGGGGGCCGAGTGGCGGCAGCAACAAGGTATCGGATGTGTATTGGGTCTGGCGTCCAGGAGCTTGGCTTCGTCCCTGCTCTTGCCGGTGGAGGGGGGCCACAACTCGGGCCTCGCCTCCTGCGGCCCATCGGAACGAGCTCGGCACCCCGGGAACGCCCTCGGCGAGGCGCAGCTGCTGGAGTCAAGGGAGCAAGAACACGCAGGGCTCCACCGTCTGAGGGACACACGCAGGTCTGCCGGGCTACGAGGGACACACGCAGGGCTCCACCGTCTGAGCTACAAAGGCCACGAGCTGAGCAGCGAGAGCCGCTACCATAGCTACGCGTGCCGCCAGCTGAAGTACAAGAGCCACGAGCAGAGCCTCGAGAGCCTCCTGCACAGCTAAGGGGATCACCTGCTGAGCTTCGAGGGCATCACACGCACTGAGCTACGAGGGCCGCAAGCAGAGCTCCAAGAGCCACCTGCGCTGCGCGTGCACCCGCGGAGCTTGCGAGGGCCTTTCGAGATTCACCAGCGCTGCTACCAGGGAGCGCCCCCTGCGCGACGAGAGCCGCCAGATGAGCGACCGGGGCCACAGGCTGACAGACGAGAGCCTCCGGCAGAGCTACCGGGGCCATCAGCTGAACAGCGAGGACCACAGGCTGGTGCACGAGGGCCACTCGCAGAGCTGCGATGACTTCCGGCCGAGCTACGAGGACCGCCTGATGAGCTCGAGTGGGCCGCCCACGACTGCATCTACAATCTAGGCCATCGGCCTTGGGTCGAGAACTGCGGTTTGCAAGGGGAGCGCACGGAACACACATCTTCAGCAGCTACTGGAGCAGAAGCGGCACACCACGAAGAGCAGAATAAGCACAGGCCCCTTCCAGAACACAGACGAAGTGATCTGGGACATGAGTGTTGTGAGAAGCTCGGCAACGACAAGGCGGAAAGGGTACCGTCGAAATCGGGGACCCAAGGAGACCAAGTGACCGATCACCACAGGCGATATAGTCGAGGCGAAGCTCGGCAAGAAAACCGTCGACGGTGGAGGAATACAGATCGACGCCCTGCAGACTACGGTCCGACGGGAGGACGGCCGAGAGTCCACGGGAGGCAGACTTACAATCCGGCGGAAACCGCACACGCGAAGCCACTTGTGCAACATGCTGTCGGCATAACATCAAGAACCAGCACAGAGCTACGGACAAGGTAATACAACTGCTGCCCTACTGGCGAGATGCCACGTCTACATCAAGTGCATGATGAGCGGCCCGGCTGCTCCTCCCCCTCCCCATCCTCCTTCTTATCCTCCTTCTCCTCCGCCTTCTCCTCCCTCCTCCTCCTCCTCCTCCTCCTCCTTCTCCTCGTCCTGCTCTTCCTTCGTGGGCCTCAGGATGTGTAGCAAAGAGCCTTGGGCGGGCTCCCCTTCTTCCTCCCCATTTACGGAAAGTGTCGCCCAGTGGCGTCCAGGGGCGCCCCGCACTCGTGCCGGGCTGGCCGCCCGCCCCGCCAGGTGGCCGCGGTTGTGCAAGCGCGGCAGGGGACGCCCGATGGCGCTGAGTAAGTAACTAAGCGTGAGGAGGAGGAGGAGGAGGAGGAGGAGGAGGAGGAGGAGGAGAACCGGCGCAAGCCCAAGACACATCAACGACGTTGAAATACACCTTCTTTCGAAGATTTGTTTCAGAGGCCCCTGCAAAGGGTCATTTCCACCGAGGAAATGCCCCGTTTGGGCACAACGCACCAGCCTCAGGGTTTCAACGTCACGAGTTAACCTCGTTGTTACGTCGCCGCCGCGAATCAACGTAAGTGTTGCGCCCTGACAATCCTGAATCGCTCTAAACCGCCGTTTCTGGTACGTTAACCATGTGCGCGGTGCTGAGGCGAGACCCCCACATTTTGAAAACGACCCGCCCTCAACCTATGACGTTTTTGCAAGCTTTTAGCCCGAATGTGCGCGGCGCTACGGCGAAAAACATATTTTGAAAACGACCTGCCCTCAATCCGCGAAGCCTTTGCAAACTTCTAAAACGAGTATGCGCGGCGCTCAGGCGAGAGCCACATATTGAAAACGAGCCGCCCTCAATCCGCGAATCTGTTGGCAAACTTCTAGATCGAATGTGCGCGGCGCTGAGGCGGGAACCACGTTTGTACCCGCGAAACTTTTGCCCACGTTTGGAAATAATGCGCGCGGCGCTGGGGCGAGAAACACATTTTGAAAACGACCCGCCCTCAATCCGTAAAGCCGCTGCAATTGTAAACCAACGATTGTGCGCAGCGTTAACGCGAGAGCGACATTTTGGAAACCACCCGCCTTTAATCCGCGAATCCATCTGCAAATCTTAAACGAATGCACGCGGCTAGTAGGCGAGAGCCACATTTTGAAACGAGCCGCCCTCAATCCGCGAAGCTCTTACAAGTTTCTGAAGCGAATGTGCGTTGCGCTAACGCGAGACCTACATTTTGAAAACCACCAGCCTTCAATTTGCGAGCCTCTTGCACGTTTCTCATACGAATGCGCGCGGCGCTGAGGCGAGAGCCACATTTTGAAAACCACCCGCCCTCAATCCGTGAGACCCCTGCACTTGTTTGACACGAATGTGCGCGGCGCTCAGGCGAGAGCTACATTGTGAAAACCTGACGCCCTCCATCTTTGAAACTGTTGCCATTGTTGAAGCGTCGGGCGAAACGCCTGGCCCGCCTGTTCGACCAGCTTTGGTGTGCGACCGGGAGGAGCTATCCATAAGGAGAATGGGAGGGGAGGAGGAGTGGAGGAGGTGAGGGGGAGCAGGGGCGCGAGGAGCAGCCCCCAGCAACAGCCAAGAGTAGCAACGGACGGGCTCGATGCCGTGGGCCCCGTGGCGCGCCGAGGCTGGCAGCCCTGCGGGAGGCCAACCTCGACGCCCTCCTGGCCGGCGAGCCCGCGAGCCCGCGCCCGGCGCAGAGCGGCGACGAGGCCACGGCCTCGGCTTCGCAGGGCGCCCGACGTCTCGAGCAGCTTTACGGTCGGGAACCGTTGGGCAGCGTGTCGCTCCGCCGGTCCTGGCCCGCCTCGCTGCGGCGCGACACGCCATCCACGTCCCGGTCGGCGTCCTCGTCCAGAGCCTCTTCGAGGATCCCGCCCCGCGAAGCGGAGCGACACGCGGTCCGCTCGCAGGGGCTCAGCGTGTCGCCGGGGCCGCCGCCCCGGCACGCCGAGAGAAGTGCCGGGCCGTGAGACGCCCCGGGTTCGAGTTCAAGGCCTCTGGGCGTTCGAGGCCCCTTTCTGCAAGGGAGCGCTGCTGATCCGTATCCTCGCACGCCATGTGCAGAAAGCTCACCAGTGGTCGAGCACATCGTCGCAGTGGTAGCTCCCAGACATGTGCATGTCAGTTTTTCCGCCGATGGGCCGTCCAGGCGCGGCTGTTGAGTGTGAGCGAGTCGGCTCCTGGAGGCTTCTAGCCTCGGGGTGGTTTCCAGCAGCTGCGCCTCGCCGAAGGCGTTCCGGGGGTTGCCGAATGGCCGCTGAAGTCACGAGTTGTGGCCCGACAGCTGGAGCTCCTCATCTCCAACAAAGTCAAGACGGAGTTGGTTCGTTCTTTTGGGACCCTGATGAGCCAGCAAGACGTCTCGGGATGAACAGCCTTTGTCCTGCGGCAAACGTATCGGGACTTCAGGATCCCAGTGTAGGAAATTATATGGCATCGGATCTCGGGGGCCGAAACTTTTCATGAGCCGTACTGGGTATGTACTCGTTGCGGGGTCGGGCTCTTCTGGGCAAGGGCCATCGAGGAGACCTGTCCAAGGAGTGTACAAATTTCAGACGAGAAACCCGCTAAAAGGCGTAAGTGGGCCCTCGAACGCTTAACATTTGACCACCCATGTAGAGTCCCCTTGTTTGCGATGTCCCGACAGGATCGGCGTGGGGTACCGTTGGGTCATCTACAATTCGCCATTAACCGATCTCT